TTTTACATTCTTGGGATTTAGCATTGCCCTGTAAGGGAGCAGACGCTGAACAGCGTCAGTGGAAGTGGGGAGGCGGGGGCAGCGGCGAGAGCCCTGTGCGGTGGAGAAGCAGGTCTGGTTTACCCCCCCCCATAGGTATTAACGTGAAGCTCCTCCCTCCCCGTGAGTCGGGAGAGACCTCGCGGTCCTAGTTCACATGAGTTCACTTTCTAGTGGCGGGCTGGGGGCAGGGGAGACAAAATAGATAGAGCCAAAACGACCTGATCCGATTATTTCAGATACTGCACGCTAAGAAGGATGCACCGTGATCGCATGATAGTGCAGGTGGGAGAAAACTACTTTCCACAGGTGCTCAGAGAAGACCTCTCGGCGGAGATGCCACGGCATGGAGATCTGAATGGTGGCAAGGAGACAGCCACGGGGACATCCGGAGCAAAGCTGCCCGGGCAAAGGGAACGACGCATGCCCAGGGACCGCGAAGGAAGATGCTGGGGGCGTTGGGGACGCCAGGAAGTCACCAGCATGGCGGGTCCAGAGTGCGCAAGGGAGACGGGTGTGGGCAGCGAGGCCGGACTGGCGGGACGCAGCTAGACCAGGCAGTCCCAGGACGTGCAAGTGACAGACAAGTCACCAGGATTTACGACGACAAGTGGCAGCTTAAGACCCTGGGCCAGCGCGACGGTTTGGGCTTGAGGCTGCAGATCGGCGGTCACCGTCTTCAACCCATCTTGGCTGGCCAGCGGGCACGGCCCTCCCTGGGAGACCCAGGTGCGGGTGACGGTCCCTGGCAGACCCTCCCGCATTGGGAGGCATGTGGGACCTGGCGCTGGCAGAATGACAATTAAGAAAAGGCCGAAAATGAAGAGATTCCTGAAACCCCCAGACGAGGTGGCTCACCCCACCGCACGCGTCAGGGCCACCCAGCGGCCCCAGTCCCGAGCGCCCTTCCAGTGCAGTAATTACGGTATCGAGACCCAGCCCGCCCTCTCAGCGGATGGCGTGGCAGCCCGGGGGACAGATGTGCCCACCCGCCCCCAGCCCAGCTGCAGAGGAAGACGCGGCCTTTTCTTCTCCCCAGACAAGGATTGATGAGGACTGCGGAGAGCGCTCAGACAGGCAGCGAGAGGCGGCGGACCTCCTCCAGGCCTGCAATTCATCTTGAGGCCACTATTCACATCACTGTTTACAGGCGGGATTAGGCTCTGACCCGGCACATTAATCTCGCCGAATAAAATAATAATAATCAAAAAAAGGGAACTGGACAGTTGCCAGGAGGCATTAATAACTGTCGCCCACAACTCGCGGCACAAGGAAGGGGTGACAGGGCCCGTCCCGCCCCCTTGTCCCCACCAGCACCCGGTTCAAGGACAAGGAAGTGAGGCAGCTCTGGCCTGGGGGACTTGGGGGACTTTACATATAGATGGCTTGTGGGGACCTGGCTCCTAAATTAACTCTGAGCAATTTCCCAGACAAATTCAGGGAACTCACGTGGGAGGGAGCACAGTCTAATAACTTAGAGCAGGGGTTGTTCTGGAGTCAGACTGCCTGAGTTCGAATCCCAGCTTAGCCACTTATAGGCTGTGTGACCTTGGGCTACTTCCTCAACCTCTCACTGCTTTCATGTTGCCGGGATTGTAAAACGGTGCAGCCACTGTGGGAAACAGCTTGGCGGATCCTCAAAAAGAAAGACCAGATGACCCGGCAATTTCACACCTAGCTCTCTACTCCCCCAAACTGTGTTCAAATAGATACTTGCATGTGAATGTTCACAGCAGCACTATTCACAATAGCCAAAAAGCAGAAACAGCCCAAATGTCCATCAGATAAACAGCTAAGCACATTGGGGTCCATTCACGTGATGGAATATTATTCAGCCATAAAAAAGGAATGGCATACTGATACATGCTACAACATGGATGAAACTTGAAAACATGCCAAGTGAAAGATGCCAGACACAAAAGGCCACATATTATATGATTCCATTTTTATGAAATATATAGAATAGGTAAATCCATGCAGACAGAAAGCAGAGGAGTGGTTGTCGAGGGTTTGGGGGAACAGGCAATGGCGGGTGACTGCTTAGGGGTTACAAGGTTTCTTTTTGACATGATGAAAATGTCTTAGCGCCAGACAGAGCTGCTGGTGGTTGTACAACATTGTGAGTGGCCCAAATGCTACAGAATGGCTTACTCTAATCTAATTAATGGTTCATTTTATGTAATGTTAGTTTTATCTCAATAAAAAGTAAAAAAAAAATCAAGACAACAGCACTTGCCCTGCAAGGCTAATGTCAGATGGAAATGAATCAGCCACGCCTGCCCATGGGAAGGGCTGGCCCCACACTAGCTGTCATTGTTGTCCCCATGAGCTCTGCAATCTCTGGCAAGTTATTTAACTCAGTTTCCTCTCTGTGACAAGAGACACCGACAGCAGCTACCCTCCCAGGACTGTTAAGATTGAATAAGACAATGTCTCTAGCAGGCTGTAAACTCCATGAGTGTAGGGATTTTGATCTCCTTTGTTCACTGATGTGTCCTTAGTGCCTAGAACACAGCCTGACACATAGTCTGCATGTGGCAAATATTTCTTGAGCAAAAGGCACTGCTTAACACAGGTGGACTGTCCCGCAAGTGTTTGCTATTTCAGTTGTTATTCTTGGTCCTAATTAGAACAATCTGCTCTCAAGTGTCAATTTGCACCAACCAATGCGTGGGCTCTGCCTGTCCTACCTCCGTCTGACCCTGCTGGCTGGGAGGAGCCAATGAAATCCCAGCAGGCGACAGGTGCTAAGGTGAGGGGGGAGGACGCCGCCACATCTCAGCGCTGGCTGCGGCCCAAATTCCTCCCCAGCCTGGGCTGCTGGGGTCAGGTCTTGGCTCCGGCTGGTGCAGGGAAGGATATTATTGCTCAAGAAAGAGTGATGGGCTTTGTGTCCACAAGTGGCTGGGATCTGTGCCCAAGCAGGAGCTGGCCCCTCGGGGCACAGCTGATTCCGGGCCCAGGCATGTGGCCTCAAGGAAGCTGACAGTATAGCTCTCGGACCCTCCCAGTCCTACATGAAGCCAGTGCAGGGCAAATGAAGCTATGAAAACCACCACCTGGCTAGGGTCCTCAGAGATTAAACAGGTGCGAGAAACCCCTGGATTGGGCGTCAGGCAGACCGGAGTTCAAATCCTGGCTCTAACAAGTGTCCACAGGGGGCAATCACTGAGCCTCCATGTTTTTGTCTGTAAAATGGGGATGAGAGAGTGTACCTTGAGGGGTGGGTGGTGGTAGTGGTAGGGGGTGAAGAGCTTAATGGGCAAGCAGTCATGGATATCATGGTCTTGGGAAGGGTAAAGGGGAGGAGGCATCTTAGGACTTCTGTTGTTTTTTTTTAAGAGATGAGGTCTTGCTCTGTTGCCCAGGCTGGAGAGCAATGGTGTGATTGCAACTCACTGTAACCTTGAACTCCTGGGCTCAAGCGATCCTCCTGCCTCAGCCTCTCCAGTAGCTGGGACTACAGGTGTGCACCACCATGCCCGGCTAATTTTTTAAAATTTTTTTATAGAGACACGGTCTCCCTATGTTTCCCAGGCTAGTCGTGAACTCCTGGCCTCATGTGATCCTCCCGCCTCAACCTCCCAAAATGTTGGGATTACAGGAGTGAGCTACTACCACACAGGCCCTTGTGACTTCTTTAGGTCTCCTGTTCCCTCTCTTGCCTTTCTTCTCCATGTCTCTCTCTCTCTCACTTTTAAATTTTTTTTTTGTGTGTGTGACAGAGTCTCACTCTGTTGCCCGGGCTAGAGTGCTGTGGCATCAGCCTAGCTCACAGCAACCTCAAACTCCTGGGCTCAAGCGATCCTCCTGCCTCAGCCTCCCAAGTAGCTGGGACTACAGGCATGTGCCACCATGCCTGGCTAATTTTTTCTATATTTTTTTAGTTGGCTGATTAATTTCTTTCTATTTTTAGTAGAGAGAAGGGACTCACTCTTGCTCAGGCTGGTTTCGAACTCTTAACCTTGAGCGATCCTCCCACCTTGGCCTCCCAGAGTGTCTCTTTTAAATTTTTGTCTCTATGCCATTTTGTACTTCCTGGCACTGCCTTTGGGCACCACAGCTGTGGCTTCATTTGAGAAAACCCCAATAGCCTAGGATTTTGGTTCAAATGAATAAATCACAAAGTTGGGGAGGGGAGTAAAGGTGGGGAGTTGGGGGACAAAAATGGGCTCAGAGATCGCCCTGGCTCATGTGTGCGGTTGGTCACCACTCAGTATCGATGGTCAATGCCAACCAGCTCTGCGGCCGAGCAATGCCTGGGACAAAGTCTGAGCTTTCTGAACTTGCAAGGGGACTGTTTTTACAGAATGGAGAGCAGGAGACTTCAGGGATTCTTCAGTCCATCCACTTTGGTCCTGGTTCCCTTCGAGTCACCTTACAGAGCCTCTGGCACTCATTACGTCCTGCAGGTGACATCTAGTCCTAACCCCGCTCGGTCCTCTGAATTCCACTGGCTGTTTTCCCAAGACCTCCTCACTCCAACACCTGCCCGTGGGTCTCTCCCTACGGGACACGGCGAAGCGTCACTGCCACCACTCACCCCCCTCCCGAAACCAAGGCGCACGTCGCTGATCGGTCACAGAGCGCTTTGCTCCCGAGCCTTGGTCCCCTTTACAAAGCGAGCTCCTGGAAGCCACCAAGAGCAAGAGCCTATGAAAGCCGTCCTTCCCTGGGAGACGCAGGACGCTGAGCATGCTCACGTTTGTTTTCCCGCTCCCAGGTGAAATTGACATGAAAATTGCACCAAGGGCCGCTTTGAAACAAGGCAACTTAGGAAAAATGCACTTGGAGGGTGCAGGTGTGACAAGCAGGTGGTGACAACACAGAGGCACGCTCAACTTCACGGAACTGTAAGAGGCGGGTGGCAGGGCCCTGGCTCTGTGGGCCCCCGTGCTTTCCTCTGCCAGGCGGCGCCCTGAGACGGGGGTACCCGGTGGCCGCAGCCAGCGCCTGCCTACCTTGGACTTGACGGCCAGGATGATCTTGGGCAGGGCCACGATGAGGCACTTGAGGGCGATGGTGATGTACTTCAGCACGAAGTCTGCGATCCCCACGATCCACAGCAGGTCGAAGAAGTCCAGGGTCTCCAGGTTGGGCTTCAGGAATATGAGGCTGGGGGGAGGGTTCACAGAGTCAGGACACTCACTTCCGGCAAGGCCCTCAGTAGCTCCTTCTACTCAGGAGCCTTGCAAATATCACATGGAGAAAGAGTGCTAAATCAGAAGTCAGACATCTGTGTCCTTTCCCTGAATCGGCTCCCAACCTGCTGTGTGACCTCGGGTGGATCTCTTAACCTCTCTGAGCCTCAGTTCCCTTGAGGGTGAAATGACAAGATTGGCTGGGACATTAAGGTCCCTGTCTTAGTCCTTTTTTTTGTTGCTGTAAAAGAATATCTGCAGCTGGGTAATTTATTTAAAAAAAAAAAAAAGAGGTTTATTTAGCTTATGGTTCAAGGGGCTGGGAGGTTCAAAGGCATGGCCTTGGCTTCTGGTGAGGGCTTTTATGCTGCATCATAACCTCACAGAGAAGGTCAAAGGGGAAGTGGACATGTGCAAAAAGGCAATAAAAACCAAACAAACAACCCGAGGGGTGTCCTGGCTTATAATAACCCACTCTCTCGGGAAGTAATCCACTCCCACGAGAACGAATCCAGTCTCACCAGGGCAAGAACTCACTCCCCACCGCATCAAGCCATTCATGAAGGCTCTCCCCCCATGACTCAAACATGTCCCAACAGGGTCACATTGGGGATCGAATTTCAACCTGAATTTTTATGGGGACAATGCAAACCATAGCAGTGCCCTTCAGTTTTACGGGTGCATGACAGGCTTTACAAGAGGTGAAAGGAGGGAAAGAAGACAGCAGACACTGTGAAGGAGGGAGGGGAACTGAGGAGCCAGGCGGGCACTATGCTAGCTCTTTGCTCGCTGCTCAATGAATCCTTGCAACAGTTCTCTGCAGTGCGCTTTGCTTATCTCCAGTTTATAAATGAGGCACTGAGGTTTGGAGAGGTGAAGTCCGTTGGCCGAGTCAGTCACACTACCTAAGGGTACTAGTGTCAGACAGACTTGAATTTGAACCCAGGCTTCTCCATTTATTGGACCCTGGGCAAATAAAGTTCTCTCTGTAAGCCTCAGTGTTCTCATCAATAAAATGGGAATCATTCCTTCCCTGACAGTGTTATTAGCAGGATTTGATGAGATATTAGACATGCTATAGACCCTGTCATGCAACAATGATGATGATAATAGCAATTCTCTGAGGAAGGCACGTTTTATTCACCCCATTTTGCAGGTGAGGAAACTGAGGCACAGAAAGGTAAAGTAACAGGCAGAAGGTCCTACAAACAAAAGGGACAGAGGTAGATTGGAACCCAGGCATCCTGACTGTAGTTAGTGTTCTCTATCCTCCCCCTCCACAGGGAGGGGGTGTGTGACCCTGAACTTTAACTGTGCCCTTCCCTGGGGATCGCTGGTTGACTTTCACACTCTGTCAAACCTTCTCTGCTTCTGTGATCACGGAACAGAGATCTGCCTTACACTTTCTTTCCATTTTATCTCAAAGACACCAGTTGGTGTTCAATTTATCTACTAGGTTTTATTCCTTTACTCTCAGTGCTATTTTTGTTTTCGCTTTTGGTAGGGGAATGCAAAAATGTTTTCCCACAGATTAAGCATTAAGCCCACTTGTTTCCAAAATATTCTATAAACTTTAATGACTGATATATTTTATTCTCAGTTTTGCTCCTCCTGAGGTACCATCACCAACAATCATAGTAATTAACCATAAAATAATGTTAATTAGGATATGCTATGTCCAGTGTTGTATAGTTTACTTTCATGTGTATTTTGACATTTGGCCTTCCTAATTAGCCCGTTTGGGTAGAGAAGGCAAAAACTGATTTGGTTCTGGTTTTACAAATGAGAAAATGGGAAGATCCAAAGAGGTTACGTTATTTGCCAAAGGACACCAAGCTGGTAAGTGGCAGAATTAAGACTCTGATGTGGGTCATCAGACTTCAAATCCTAAGGAGATTCAAGCTCGCTGGTAAAGGCTGTCTCCAGGACTAAGACTGCTTAGGAAGGGCTTCATGAGGCCTCAGTTGCCTCACCTGTGAAATGGGTCACTAAAGAGGATCAACTAAGATAATGGTTGGTTGGTGTCACGTACAAACATTACAGACTGGTGACTTCCTTGAGGACAAGGACTCGGCTCTGTTGCTTTTCTCTCTCTCTCTCTGTGCTGCCAGTTTGACTCGGGGCTGCTTTGATGGGGGCACAGAGATTTGAGCCTGGGAACATGCCCAGAAAATGACACGAGCCGGAAATCCAGCCAAGGTTCTGGGAAACTCCACCTCCTCCACCCTCCACCCGGACTCTGACATTCTGGATGGTGCAACTACTGCAGGGTATGTGGTATGTGTTGATGTCCTGGAACTAAATCCCCAAATTGCTTTCACGAGGTGGCCTCAGAAAGTAGTGAAGCTGCTCACTCCTCAAAGTCCATTTTCTAAACAGACAGACACGATCTGAAAGCTTGACTTGAGTTTCAACCCTGTCCTGTCCTAGAGGGCCAACCCTCCACCCAACCATCCAGAAAAAATCTTCCGTCAACTCCAGCAGCCCTGATAGTTTTTATACATAGTCATGACATTCTGGCAACATTTTCTTTCTTTCTTTTTTATTTACGAGATGGGGTTTTGATCTGTCCCCAGGCTGCAGTATAATGGCGAGATCACAGCTCACTGCAGCATCAAACTCCCTGGCTCAAGCGATCCTCCTGCCTTAGCCTGCTGAGTAGCTGGGACGACAGGCGTGTGCCCTGGTAACATTTTCTTATTCAGTGATTTCCAAACACTTTTTGAAAAATGAAGCTAAATTGCTGGCCATCGTGCCACGTGCCTGTAGTCCCAGCTACTTGGGAGGGTGAGGTGGGAGGATCGCTTGAGCCCAGGAGTTCAGGACAATGCCACTAAGGACAGTGAGCTAAGGACAATGCCACTGTACTCCAGCCTGGGCTATTATTAAAATTGATTCTACTTGTTTCTTTTTAGTTTTCTCCATGTGGCAATTAGAAAATGTCCACTTATATAGGTGACTTGCATTATATTTCTATTAGAGAGTGCTGGTTTAGGCATGTGTGTGTAACGACAGCAGGGTGGAATGCGGAAGTTACAATGTGACATAGAGCTGGCGTGTCATTCTCAAGTGAACAGGTGTGTGCCCTGAGCCCACCAAAGCCCCCGGCTGTCCCGCTGTGGGGTCAGACGCCCCCACTCACCTGTTGTATAGCTGCTGGGAGCTGAATGTATAAAGCACATACAGGGTGTTCCCTGCCAGAAAGGCCAAGATCCACAAGATGACCAGCACTGACCTCTTCTCCTGGAGACAAAACAAGAGATCTGTGAGACCAAAGGCGTACATGGGGGAACCTTCCAGAATGTTCTCTGATGATTGGCAATGTTTCACTTTGTCAAAGTTTTGGAGGAAGCGGTGCTGAAGGTGAACGGAAGGGCACTGGCATCTTCCCACCCCGCTGGGACCCGAAGGGTGGTCACAGGGAAGGTGACAGAAGAGTAGACACCTGGTTGGAGAACTATCCGGAAAGGCTAGCGGGCACCATGGTTCGCAGCACAGCCTCCAGGGCTGTGGGTGGCCTGAGTTCAAATCCTTGGTCGGTCGTGTGGAGTTGTCCAACCTCAGGCAAGTTCCTTAAACTCTTTGCAATTCCCTTTCCTCATCTGTAAAATGGGTATATCTTCGCATCTACCTTACAGAGTTGTAAGAACTAAAGCACGTAAGATGCTGTGAGGAAGTGAGGCACAGAGAAGTAAAGTAACTCTTACTCAAGGACATGCCTTTTAAGCCTCCATGTCCTCATGCAAAAATGCGGGTGTCGTTCGGGATTAAGTCAAATTTTTCAATGCAAACTTTCAGTCTGGTACAGACTCATATTTCAGGCTTGCTAAGGTGTAGGACCTAGATTATTAAGAGTTTACGACTCTGAAGAGTAGATTCAGATCTAGAGGTTGGAAATTTCTGTTCTCGCCTTTCCTAGCGTGGGCCTCTGGGTCACTGCCCTGGACTGACCGTTCCACGGAGGGCCACATGGCTAGGATTAAATCCAAACTCGCACACACAGATATCGAGACCCTCCGCAACCCAGCCCCACCTCTCTGTCCTCGGCCTTGCTCCTCTTAGTCCCCAGGAAGACAAACTGCAAACCCCTCTCAGGCTGCAGTTTCCCAGCAGCTTCCTGGCCTGACAGCGATCGCACGCAATGTCGGGAAAAGGCGCAGAGAAGGTCACGTTCGTGCCTGGGCACCGCCCTGGGAGACGCACGCAGAGCCCTTGCTGTTGACTCTCAAAACCCCGTCTTTTCCTGGACCTGGAACCGCTTCGTTGCTGGAATAAGATGAGGTCATAACTTCCCCAGCGTAACCTTCCCTGTGGTTTCGGTAAAGGCTCAAGACACGCTGTCTCCAGGCACAGCTCAGCGCCCACGCACGGCACGACGCAGCTTCCAGAGAGCGGATCACGTGCATCTCCACTCGCCCGCTATTCCAGAAGCGGTCAAGGTTAACGGCGCTAGAAACCACCTCCAACCAACTGCTCTTATCAATGTGATTAATGCACTCGGCAGCCCTTTTTACCCTGATAAATAATAGATCCCAGTTTAATTGTCTATAAATCCAAATCACAGGTGGAATACGAAGAGGGAATTAGCAACGCCCCAAGAAGACACAATCTGAAGGACAAAGGGTGTAATAAGCTGAGATTCCTAAGATTATCGAGGGTCGTGTAGATCCGCCGTCACAGAAAATATGCATAGACAGGCAAAATGTCACCTGTGTCCTCATAGGGGGTCAAGGGCCCCTGGAGGCCTGTCCATGGATCCAGACATACTCTCAGCCCCTAAAATTCAAGTTGAGGCACCATCTGGATGTTACTACATTTGAGAGAACCCTAGCCCTCAAAGCCTCCCACTATGGTTTTGAGTTACTAGCAGCAGAAAGGGGACTGTATGAAGAAGACGATCTGGTTGTGGTGGCTCAGACCTGTAATCCTAGCATCTTGGGAGGCCGAGGCAGGAGGATCGCTTGAGGCCAGAAGTTTGAGAACAGCCTGGGCAACATAGCAAGACCCCATCTCTACAAAAAATAGAAAAATTAGCCAGATGTGATGGCACGTGCCTGTAGTCTCAGCTACTCAGGAGGCTGAAGCAGGAGGATCACTTGAACCCAGGAGTTGGGGGTTGCAATGATCTATGATGACACCACTGTATTCTAGCCCAGGTGACAGAGCAAGGCTCTGATTCAAAGAAAAAAATAAAAAAGATGAGACTAAGGGTCAAGAAGAACCTCTGACTCTGTCCCAAACTCTGGACCTCAACATGCTCATGTGCAAACAAAGACTGAGCTGCCCTCCATGCCACAGGGAGACCCAAGTGCTTTTACGAAAGCAGATGACGCTATAGAAGGCTCAGAGAAGGCGGGGACGGTTATGACATCACCTGTGCAGTAGAAAGCACAATAATTGCTCAGTTAAATGTTTCTATATGCCAGGCACTGTGCTAGACACCTTCAACCTACTATCTCATTTAATCCTCACAACAGGTCTATGAGTTGGCGTGAATAGTCCCTTCTGCGGAGGTAGTGTCTGAGCCTGAGATCACCAAGGTGACCTAATCAAGGCCCTGCAGGTGGGTGGGCTTTGAACCGGGAATGAGCACAGGCTTTGTGCTTAACTGCCTGGGTTCAAATCCTGATGCCACCACTTGCATTGGCTGTGTGGCTTCAGGCAGGGAACTTAGTGTCTCTGAGCCACTCTTTCCTCACTGGCAAAATGAGACAGTGATTTTGTCTCCCTCCCAGGTTGCTGGGATGAATCTGCTGAGATATGAGATATCGATGGGCTTAGCACTGTGCCAGGCCCACAGCCAGGGCTCTGCAGACACGGGCGACATTCAGGGGCGCAGTGCTGAAGCTGTGTGTCCACCCAGCAGCATCAGGGGGAAGGCCTTAAGTATGCGGGGGGGGGGGGGGGCGTGCAAGTGAGCTAACAGGCTGACGGTTGGGAGGGCAAAGGCGTTAGGCCGGGGGCCACGTGGAGGACATGCTACTGCTGGAAGAAACGGGCCGGACCGTATGGAGGGCAGGGGAGAGGATGGAACACCCGGGCATCTGCCCAGGGGTGGCAGGCAGGAGAATGGCCTCGAGGAGAAGTCCACGTCCTCATCCCTGGAACCTGTGGCCATGTCGGGTCGCACGGCAAAGGAGAATCAAGGGTGCAGGTGGAGTTAGGGCCGGAATCAGCTGACCCTGAGATGGGCCGATGCTCCTGGGTTATCCGGCTGGACCCAATGTCATAGCACAAGGGACCCTAAAAGCAGGAGGCGGCGGCAGAAAAGAGTATGGGGCAGCTGTGACTGCGGAAAGATGGTCACAGGGAGGCATGTTGCTGGCCCGATGGAGAAGGGATCATGAGCCAAAGAATGTGGGTGACCTCTAGACCCTGAAAAAGCAAGGACAGAGATCCCCCTGGAGTCCCCAGGAGGGACGCAGCCCTGCCCACACCCTGATCTTAGCGCAGAGAGACCCTCCTCAGACTTCTGACCTGCAGAGCCGCCACACGACAGATGTGTGCGGTTTTAAGCCACTACGATCGCGGTCATTTGTGGCAGCAGCCACAGGAGACCAGTTTGCCAGGGGACTCACCTTCAGGGAGACCTGTTCGCGGAGCGTGGAGTTGGCGTAGGCGAAGGTGCTGGCCATCCCGATGCACACAGCGATGCCTGCGGGACAGGGGGGGACAGACGTCACCCGCTTAGACTCATCCATCAGGCCCAGCCCAGGACATGAGCAGCGCTGGCAAAAGACACATCCCTGGTCCCCGTGGAGCTGACAGGGGAGGGAGAAAAATCCCACTTCTGGGGGATTTGGGCTGCCATGGAAACCACTGGGGGACCCCGGGCCATTCTGATTTCGGGATAGGCTGTAGGCCCCTGTGGGGACACTTTATAGCACCAGGTTTGAGCATGAGCTGTGTAGTCTGGGAAGGTTCAAAACTCAGCTCTGCCACCTCCTCTCTGTGTATTCTTGGGCGAGTCACTGAACCTTGCTGAGCCTCAGTTTCATCATCTGTAAAATGGGCAGAGCAACAACCACACTTACCCCATGGAAGGGTAATACTTCCATGATACTTGATAGAACATAATCTCTAGCAGTTGGTAAATGGCACCTCTTATTATTTCTACTTTCCAAAAGAATCAGAGGTGTGTTATTTTGTAATAAAAGCATCCATAGAAAAAGACGATGACACCATAAGGAATTAAAGTTTAATGTTAAAGGGGGAAACAAAATCCCAGCTAAACAGGCAAACATGACCCAGGCAGATGGGAGAACAGAACTGAATTTTATTCCACAAGTCATTACATCACCACAATTTGCCAAGCAACAATCTTGGAATTCTCCCTGAATAGTGATTTTTAAGTCCTGCTTTTTGTTACTTGTAGACAGAATTCTGTTTTCACGTGACGAGAGCCTAAAGTTCACTCGCTCTTCCCATATATGCATATTCTACATATTTTCCCAGATCTACTTTGTAAAATATGTATTTTACTGAAAACATATAAAATAAGAACCAATAACCCCACAATCCTTTTTTTTTCCTAGTCTCCTCTTTGATTAAAAACAAACAAAATAAAAACCTGCCAACTGAAAAGAAAAATGACCACACTCAAGAATAGAGCTTAGCTGTGAGTTTGCCAGAATTTGGGGTAAGGGGAACATACTGGCTTCCACTTCTAGAAACAGAGGGGGAGGGGCTGATATGGTAGCACCCCAGCAAGGCAGGCAGAGTGAACTGAGTTGGCTGGAACTTGCCAGGGAGAAGAAGATAAGAAATAAAGGCTGGGCTTATCTCCTCGGGACATTTTCTTATGGGAAGTCGTAGGCCACTGGGGTAATTCTCACTGTCATTCCTACTGTAGGGCTAAAACAATAGCCCACCAGGCCTCCAGAACACAGCGACAGCATGCACTAATAACAACAGTACTAATAACAACAATAACAATGTATCAGAGACCATTAATTGAACATGAAATATGTGTCGGGTACTAGGCCGAGCACTTTATGAATCATTATCTTACTCCCCAATAATAACAACAATAGGTAGTATTTATTGAGCACTCGCTAAACACCAGGCTCTATGTTAAGCATTTAAATGTGTGCTAATAATGAATAGAATAAAAATCGCAACCTACACTTGCACAGCGTTTTCTCTTGGGCAGGCCCTGTCCTAAATGCTTTACACACAGTAACTCAAATGTAATGTCACTGTGATCCCATGAAATAGAACACTACCATTACCCCCATTTTGCAGATGATGGAACTGAGGCACAGAGAGGTTAAACAATGTACTCAGCGTCACACAGCTAGGAAGGGACAGAGCTGGGGTTCAGACCCAAGCAGTCTGAGTTTTTAATCCCACTGGACAGATGAGAAGACAGGCTCAGAGGAGCCACGTGAGTTGCCCAGAGTGACACAGCTTAGTTGGCCAGGACCGGAACCCAGGTCGGACTCAGGATCGCACCCCGCAGCCCTGTGCACCGACTGGCGGGCTCCGATGGCTCCCGCGTGTCAGGTGGGGCCGCCCGCCCCGCGCAGGGCTGGGGCACCGCCCCGGGGACGGACGCACCGAGCTTGTGCTGGAAGCACACTTTGGCCAGGAGGATGAGGATGAAGGGCAGTCCCCTCTGGAGCCAGCAGACGACGGCCTTCAGCTCGGACAGCGCGGGCGCGGGCGTGCCGGGCTGCTCGTCGCCGTCGTCGCGGCCGCGCGGGTCGGCGCCCACGTGCTGCAGCAGCGCGCTCCCGCGGTGCGCGCCGCCGTGCGGGAAGTGCAGGTGCGGCTGGCGGTGGTGGTAGGCGGCCGCGTCGCCGCGGCCCGCGCCGTCCTCCCTGGCGGCGGGCATCTGCACGAACAGGTCCCCGGCCGCCGGCGGGCCCAGCACCAGGCCGGCCGGGAAGGCGCCCGCGGGGAGGCCGGCGGGGAGGCCCGAGAAGAGCGCGGGCGGGGCCGCCGCCTCGGCCTTCAGCCCTCCGAAGACGCCGCCCTCATCCGCGCCCGCCTCCGGGCCCAGCGCCTGGCCGCGGTTTCTGGGTGACGCGGGGAGAGAAACCCACCAAGTCAGGTGGCTGCAAAGACAGGACCCCGCGGAGGAGGAGGGTCAAACAGTGCCAGTGACCGCATGGGCCCTGCTGTTTTACCCCACCCCCACCCCCTGTCCTTGTCTGAGGTAGGGTCCCCAAAGGGCCCTGACCCCATAGCACTGTGGCCTTACAACGGGGCACCAGGCCACAGACAGGTACAGAAGGGAGACCGTCAGAGACCAGGGAAGACGGCCACCGACTGGCCAAGGCGGAGAGCCCGCAAGGAACCAACCCTGCCACACCTCGATCTTGGACTTCTAGCCTCCAGAACTTTGAGAAAGGACATGGCAGTTGTTTAAGTTCCCAGGTCTGTGGTACCTGATTATGGCAGCCCTAGCAGACTAATGCAAATAATAACAGCAATAGAGTCATAACCTTCCTGAAAACGTGCTATGTGTCAGAGACTTTTCTGAGTGCTTTATGTTGATTAACTCACCAACTCCTCTTATCAAGCTGGAATCAGGTCCTACTAATAACTTCACTTTACGGATAAAGAAACTGAGGCACGCAGAGAGAACGTAACTTGCCCAGAGTTGCAGAGCTGGCAAGGGATGGAGCAGAGGAGATTCGAACCCAGGCAGACAAGCTCTAGAGCCGGCTTTCCTAACCACTGTACTTCGTTAAAAAGGGAGCACGGAATTCTATGATTCTAGAATAACCTTGGAAACCCAAGGACCCCTGGCTCCGGAATCCTCACGTTCAAGGACTCCCAGTACCCCAGAGGGGCCAGCCTCCATCATGGCTGGCATTTGGGGAGCAGCAGAAGCTATGGGAAGAAGACAGTCGAGAGGCCCATACTCCAGCCCCAGCTCTGCCCTTTCTAGGGGCCTTACCTCCTTGCACTCAGTTTTCTCACCTGGAAAATGGACATAAGTACCATTCCTGCCTAGAATTCCTGGGGAGGGGGATCACAGTAAAATACCCTTTGCAATAACAGGTGCTCGATACATGGGGGCTATTATCTCTAGTTCGTATGGAAGACCTCCAGGGTCCCCAAATCTGCTTTTTCTAGTTCCGAGCAAGGACCTTTGGGGTTGCAATCCAGCAAAGGATTTTGTGGCTCTTTTGCAGCCACTGCTGGAGGAGCAGAGAGCCCAGAATTGGGTGCCGTTTGGCGCGAACGCCGTGTCCCCAAGTTCTGCAAGCCATCTTTCTTCCGGGGCTCATCCTCTTCTCACATGGAATCACTACATGGAAACTGAGTCTACACCACAGATACAGGTGGGGCCGATCTGCTCGGTGTGCACGTGTTGGGGAGGGGGAGGAAGAGCAAAGAGCTTTCCTACTTCTCTTACCCTACAGGCGGCTCCGCAGAGCCCCAGGGACTCCAGAGACAGACATCCCGTGCTTACTGAAAGCAAGGGCTGAGCTCCATTCACCCTCTGGACCCCACAACTCGGGGCACACAGTAGGTGCTTAATAAACGTATGCTAGATATCATCCGGTCACAAAATGGCAGTGGGAGGGTGGCTTCCGGGGAGGTTTGACACTGTTTTCACGCTGGATCCCATATGATCTATTACCTGCCTGGAGACCAGGATATATGGAAGGGACTGAGCATCTGCACATTTGGGCATCCGAGGGTGGGGGTTCTGGAGCCAAACCCCTGGGAATATGGAGGGCTGACTGCATTCAGTTATGTCACCTGCCCACTCAAAGCCCTCCAAGAGCTTCCCATGCTGTACTCCTTCCAGCGGTCTCAGACAAACCCTACAGATAGTTGCAAATATCGCTCCCATCTTACTGCTAAAGAAACTGAGGCCCAGAGATAAAATTGCCACATGCCCTGGATTATTTGGCCCTAAACCCCAATGTCATCCTGTGTCCTTTCTCACCACCCAAGGGCTTCTATCATAGGCTGCCACCATCACCAAGATGTCTCCAAACCCCCACCCCATTGCACCTACTCATCATACTCTCCTCGTCCATCAGATTTCAGCTACAACCTCTCTTCCTAGAGACTCCCCTGCCTCCCAGACAATGACAGCCCCCTGCTCCTTGTTCTCATTGCATCCTGATGTCACCTACACAGGACTGATCCCAGTTGTCCTTTATTCCTTATCTTTCCCTAGGGACCTGTGCTTTCAACCCTGGCCACACATAATAACCACTTGGGGAGGAGCCTTTGAACAATACAGGTGCCTGACCCCACTAGAGACCCACTGCATCACTGAAGACCCACTGAATTGTGGGTGGGCCCAGCATCTCAAGCTCCTCAGAGGCCCCTGCTGATTCTAGCATGCAGTCGGTGCTGCAAGTCTAAAGCTTTAGCCTGGGCCCTGCTCCATGACGTCAAAGACCACGACTGCAACTCTCCCACCCAGGACAACGCACCTGGCACAAAGAACACGCCCCATAAACAATGTTTGAAGGAACGAATGAGCGCGCACACTGAAGGCTCTAAGAAAAAAAAACTGCAACTGAAAAATATTAACTTTGTTTAAACCTGCTGTTTCCCAAACTTAAAAATTGACCATGGAATTTGTTTTCTCCATGGAAAACCCATTTACACCCTAGGGACACCTGGGAAGCACCGCACGGGGACATGCTGGGCTGGAGAGGTCTCAGGGTTGGTGTCTCTGGCTTCACAAACTGGACCTGGAGGTGTGTTATAAACCTGGTGCAAGGGACTGAATTGAAGATGGCTACATCCTTTCTCTCCCCACTGTGCCCCCTCCCCGCTGGCTCCCAATGCCCAGGAAATGTGTGGTCCTCCTCCCTTGGGCTCTGGATAACAATAGTGATAATATTAATAATGACAACAACAACAGACACCATGGCTATGAACCTCAAGGGGCCTTTGAGCTTTTTCTGCACTTCAAGAAGCTCAGCTCAGAAAGCAAGAGTCCTGGCAGCTGCCCACGTTGGCCCAGGAGGAGGCCACTTTCTCTCTGCTGCTGCCCACGGGGCCCTAGAGAACCCTCCTCTACCCATGGAGGGTTCCAGCACTCTGAGTTCACTGGGCCCAGGGGGGCCTCCAGTAGAACCAGTGAAGGCTCAACCCACCAAGGGGCTTTTTATAGCTGGCCTCCCTTCCCTGGGCCTCTCCCCTGCATCCAGCCGAGATTTCAGCCTAAATGGGAAAGGCTATTCCTTAGAGGGACAGAGGCTGAGCTTCAAACTTAACTACTTAAGGGCTAGAGCAGGTGTCCTCAAACTACGGCCCGAGGGCCACATGCCACCCGCCTAGGACATTTATCTGGCCCGCCGGGTGTTTTTGTGCAGCTGCCTGTCCTGCTTAGCAGCCGACTCGTCCCGGGCCCACAGTGCGCACTCTCCAATGGTCTGAGGGACAGTGAACTGGCCCCCCGTTTAAAAAGTTTGAGGACCCCTGGGCTAGAGCTTGAGGCAACCCAGGAGGATTAGTGGATCGGCCCAGAGAGGAGGGAGCCAAAATGTCATGCTCAAGGCACAGATGTTGGGGGACAGGAGGGAGGAAAAGTTTGGCTGCCTCCCCCTTGGATGGAGGTGCTAGCTCAGGGGGCTCTGGGCTGGAGACTGTCCCAACCTGAGAACAGGTCCCCACGTGCATACTCTCCTGGATTTAAATAGATAGAAACTCTAGCTCATGAGTGATGTAACTGTGATTTTTAAAGATTCTGTACTTGCCTATTTGGCACACATTAATCACATGGCCAAACTACTAGCTGTTTACACCTCCCCTGTGACCCAGGGTCCATAACCCCAGCCACCTCCTCTATCTGACTTTCACACGTGCAGCCAATATTTCTCCTGCCCCAAATCACGCAGGGCCAGATACCAAACAGCTAAAGACCAGCCCGTACGCCACAGCCCACTGACGTTATTCACACTAGCCAAGCCTAAGCTGTTCCCCTGGCCTGCCTCGTCTTCCCTGAGGCAAATGCAATAAAGCCTGTGGCCTGTGCTTTTTCTCGTCCCTTTCTGCCGCCTGGTCAATGCTGGCGCTTCCCCACGTGGCCGTGCGTGGTGTGGGGTGCCCCTCCTGTTGGGAAATGGTAGCAATAAAAATTGTCTTTCGCTGACATTGTCCTCAGTGTTATGGTCTGAATGTTTGTGTCCCTACTCATGGGAAGTATATGGCCCTTAGTTGAGCCACATGTTGAAATCTGACCCCCATGTGATGGCATTGGGAAATGGGGCCTTTAGGGGATGGTTAGGTCATGCAGGTGGAGCCCTCATGCATGGGATTAGTGTCCTTATGAAAGAGACCCCAGAGTGACCCCTCGTCCCTTTATCATGAGGACACAGCAAGAAAATGGCCATCTCTGAACCTGAAAGCGTGCCTTTGCCAGACACTAAACATACTGGGGCCTTGATCTTGGTCTTCCAAGCCCCCAGAAGTGTACAAAAGAAATGTCTGGGGCGGGGCACGGTGGCTCATGCCTGTAATCCTAGCACTCTGGGAGGCCAAGGCAGGCAGATTGCTCAAGGTCAGGAGTTTGAAACCAGCCTGAACAAGAGCGAGACCCCGTCTCTACTGTAAATAGAAAGAAATTAATTGGCCAACTAATATATAGAAAAAATTAGCCAGGCATGGTGGTGCATGCCTGTAGTCCCAGCTACTCGGGAGGCTGAGGCAGTAGGATCGCTGAGCCCTGGAGATTGAGGTTGCTGTGAGCCAGGCTGACGCCACGGCACTCACTCTAGCCTGGGCGACAAAGTGAGACTCTGTCTCAAAAGAATGAATGAATGAATGAATGAATGAATTGTCTGTTGTTTCACCTACCCAGTCAATGGTATTTTTGTTAGCAGCCCAAACAGGTTAAGATACCTCTTTAGTTTAAAATCCCACGGGTACAATCATTGCTACAAATGAGTCAAGTGGATCACCTGTCACATAGGTTTTGAGAATTGCCATAAAAGAGCAAGCTATTAGGCAATGAGTGTTCAGTATAAGGACATCACTGTGACTCTAACTCTAACTCTGAGAGGTGGCTTTTATTCGTCCAGTCTTGGGTTACCCCTCACCACCCAAAGCCCAGAGCCCTCAGACAGAAGAACAAAAGCAGGCCGTGCCTACCTTTCAGGTGGAATGTTATCTGTGTTGCTGCTGTGCCGTCTCTGCATTTTCCTGAACACCTGAAACCCAACACCGCGGTGAGCCAGCGTCTCCCGACACTCCCGCTGCCTGTCAGATTGCCAAGGTGACTGTAAAATACTCCTCATATCTTACACCCCTCGCAATCTCTGACATGCTCCAAGCCATGTTTCAATCTTTTATGCCATTCAATCCTCAATTCAGCATTCCATCCCAGGAGGAAACTATCATCAGCCCATTTCCCAGATGAGAATGGTGAGACCTGGAGGTGGAAGAAGGCCTCATGTGGGAGGAGAAAGCCATGGACTGTGCAGCAAAAGGGTGTTGGATGAAGTGAAGTGAGCAGCAGACTGGCAGTTGGGAGGCATGGATTCTGCCCTGATGCTGCCCCTAACTTGCTGTGTGACCCTAGACAAATCAGTAACCTCTCTGTGGCTTCAGATCCCCCATGTGTTACCAGGACGGGGTGGAGTGGTCAAACTCAAACCTCCCTTCCAGTCCTCACGGTGAAAAAACTGGTAATAAAGATGTGAATTCTGTCGCAGACATGTCACCTGATTCACTATGAAGAGCCACATGGACTTCAGAACTCCATGTTGCCAACACCTGAGGTGGGCATTAGGGCTCCTGAAGGGGGTGTGACTGCTGGGTCCCAGAGAGAGCAGGCCTCCCCTCCTCTTCCTCTCCGGAGGGATGCGGAGGTCAGGAGAGCTTCCCGGAGATTCCGAACCTGGATGGAGCAGAACACGTGGGTGAGTAATCCATGGGATGCCTTGGATCTGATAGTAAGTCTTAGGACACCATTGATAGCTATAAACAGATGATTCCATTGGCTTAATATCTCTGGGTAGCCTCTCATTGATCCCTCTTTGGGACACGTAATGTATTTTCCTATTGTCATGACTGGGGAACACAATATGTTTTAGACCCTCCGGCAGCTTCCCATTGCAATCAGAATGAGACCCACGTTCCGTCCACAGCCTACAGGTTCTCCCTAATGTAGCCTCACCTGTTTCCAACTTCATTTCCTTTCACTCTCCTTCTACCATGCACCTCCACCTACCGGTGTTTCCCTGAAAATAAGACCAGGGTCTTATATTTATTTTTCCTCAAGAAGACACGCTAGGGCTTATTTTCAGGGGATGTGTTATTTTCCCCTCAAAGCCTCAGCTTGCAACACGCACAGGATGGCCGGGACCTGACGGGGGGAGCTGACCTTGTTGGTAGGGCTGCCCACACCTTTCGGGTCACCTCTGGGACAGTAGCTGTCACGACGGACAGCTTCTTTACCAGTCCACGAGGAAATGCATGGATTGTGCAGATGCTCTGTGTAGCCACGCCCATCACTAGGTCTTATTTTCAGGGTGGGGCTTATGGTGCCCGAATGCTTAGAAATCCTGCTAGGGCTTATTTTATGGGTAGGTCTTATTTTCGGGGAAACACGGCACCTGCACAGGTGTTTCTGTTCCTCTAATATGTCAGCCTGTCCCTGCCTCAGGGCCTTTGTACTTTTTGTTCCCTGTCCCTAGAATGCTTTCTCCTCTGAAGGTTGTGAGGTTAGCTCCCTAGACAAATGTCACATCCTCCCAGAGGTCTTCTCATTTTCCTGCCCCCTCCCCTGCCATAACATCGCCCTGTTTTATATTCTTCATAGCACTTAACATCAAGGGGTCTCCCAGTTACCATTTTCAAGATCCCTTGCTCCCTGCCCACCTTTCACCCTGGGGAAGAACTAAGGCCCCTATGCTTTCCACGAATAGGTTTAGCCTCCACTAATATTTCCTTGTCCCAGAACCAAAGATGATGTCTGACTCTCAGTTCAGGGCACCATAACTGGCTCTTGAATGACTCCCTCATCCCGACCAGCCTTCGTGAGGGGCAGCGTTGGTGTCACCGGGGCCACTCATTAGAAAGACGACCCATCCGTTAAGCCTCCTTCCTCTTTTGAAAAATTAGCTAAGAAATGGGTCGGCAGCCCCCATCTTCACATAGGAAGAAAAGCGCACCACATAAACATTGTTCGAGAACTTGCAATCTCAGCTTAATGCCCCCTTTCCACATGCCCCATCTCTTGCAAAGCCTCGAGGAAAACAAAACACGGTATCCCCAAGTCTCCACAAAGTTGACGCAGCCCTCCTCAATCAGACGCTCGAGACTCTGCTTGTGGATGCTTGTTTCTGAAGGGGCTTCACGTTCTCTGGTGGAAGCAGGCCCTACGTAATCATTCCAATTCCGAATTCTAGAATAAACCGCTGCCCGCGAGATGCACCTGAATCAATGAACGAACCGCCTTCTCATCCCCTGCGCCGCCGTACGTCCCGCCACCGCCCCACGACGGGCCACACCGCGACTTTCCGCGGCTCGGGCTGAGGTGAGCGGCGCCGGGCGGCCGCGGCGGGACCGCGCGGGAGGCGCGCCGCGGAGCATCCCCCGCGACGTCGCGTGGCCGGGGCGCAGGTGTGCTCCGGACACCGCGTCGCCCGCGCTTTCCGTTCCCGCCGCCGACACCGCGCGAACGCCCTGGGACCGCAAGGGCAGGAGACTGCACAGACTATGCCGGAGGGGGCAAAGAAATCGCGTCCTCTTTTTTACCTGCCCGGACAATTCAGCAATCACAGCCGCATCATTCGCGTCCAGTCAAGCCAATCGCTCGCGCGGCCTGGGCAGCACGTGACTTCCCTCGCTTCCGGCCTTGAGTTTGGTGGGATTCTCAAGCGCTGTCAGGCCCGGCGCTAGGACCCGGGGACAGCTACTCCCGTCGTACTCGAAAGATTGCCCGCCCCCTTTCTCGAGTTTCAGCCAATAGGAGGCCGGCCGCTCCCGCAGGGACCAATGGCGAAGAGATCTTGCGCGGCCAGCAAGTGACGTAAGCGCAGAGCGAGGCGGGCCGCGGGGCGGGGTCACGTGGCGCGGCGCGGGGTGGCTGCCGGGAGCTGACAGGGCCTCGGGGCCGGCGGGCCGCGGGGCCGGTGGCCGCCGCGAGGGATGGGGCTGCCGGGCGCGTAGGGGCCATGCCGCCCGGACCCCGGGGCTGCCGCGTTCCGCGCCCCGGCTGCCGCGCCCCACGTCCGCGCCGGCATGGTGAACCTGGCGGCCATGGTGTGGCGCCGGCTCCTGCGGAAGAGGTGGGTGCTCGCGCTGGTGTTCGGGCTGTCGCTCGTCTACTTCCTCAGCAGCACGCTGAAGCAGGTTAGTGGCCGCTCGCCTGTGCCCCTTCCTTCCCTCCCCGGGTCTCGGGACGGGCGAGGGGTCCTGCCGCTGTCGCTGCTCCCGGCGGCGGGAAGGCGTCGCTGGGCCAGGGCAGGGTGGGGACCCGAACCCTGTGCCACGGTCCCTTCAGCCGTAGGATATGACCTTTACTAGTGCCGCGGTGCTTTTCACCTGCCGGGTCCGGTGCTAAGAGGGGGCGTGGACGTTCTCACTTCATCCTCCCGGCGGTCCTGGGAGAGGCGGGCGCCCCCGTATTGCCGCGGGGAACCCAAGATTCCAAGAGGTAGAGACAGCTCAGCCAGAAAACTGGCCTAGGCGCGAAGCCAGCGCTGGCGTGGTTGCTTTTCGTTTAATTTGGGGGCTCTGTGGTCCTCCTGGGTGACTCAACAGGACCCGCAGGGTGCTCTTTCTGGGCGTTATTTGGTTGGGTCGAATTTTCTTTTCATCTCCTTCCCACCCCCATCGTTCTTCTTCCTTGTGAGAATTTCTGGGGAAAAACGGCACAGGGTTTCGGTGGGAAATGTTACCCAAACCGTTCGTAAGCTTGTTTAGAAGTTCAACTAGAGCGCTTGGGTTTTTCCAAGGGGTGAGCATACCTCAGGGTGCACCCGGGATAGTCTTGAGTTATGCTGCTGTCCTGATGTGGTTATTTAAAGCCCCCCTTTTCACTCACAAGGTCAAGTTTGTAAATATATAAATGAATCAAGCACGAATAAAACGACATGATCACTCTAGTTGTAGCGGGTTGGCAGGGGAGCTATGAAAAAGGAAGATAGGGAGTCATATCCTACTTTCCACCTTAGGCAAACAGAGGCCAAGTGTTGAAAGGCTCTTTTATTTGCTAGGATGTGTGGGTGATCATGTGAATTACCTGGCTTCTGCCACATCACAGACATTTCCTAACAGTCACACGTTGTCCCTCCCTTCTCTGGTGGAGCCCTGAATGGTGTTGTGCACCTGGACTCAGTCCTCTGCCTTCCTCTCTACTGGAGCCAGTGATTTCTGGGGCCAGTGTTTACATACCAGCTGTATGCTATTGATACCCCAGTCCAAGCCTGTCCAGAACCCCCCAAATTCATCTGATTGCCTACTTGATGTCTTTTTTCCCCCAATTTTTTTTATTGTGGCATAATACGACATGAAATTTACTATCTTAACCATTTTTAAAGTGTGTAGTTAGATGGTATTAAATGTATTCATAACATTGTCAATCACCACCATCCATCTCCATAACTCTTCATCTTGTAAAAACTAAAACTTTATACTCATTTAAACATTATTCCTCATTCCTCCTTTCCCCCAGCCCCTGGCAATCACCCTTCTACTTTCTACTTGATGTTGGTTGTTTTTATGCTTGGCCAAAAGCAACTCTTGATTCTCCTCTGCCAACACTTGTTCCTCCTCTAGTCTTCCCAATCTCACTAAGTGGAGTGACTGTTCACCAGTTATTTCAAGTCACAGATACTTCATTCTTTTCTTCTCTCACTCCCTACATGTAAAACGTTGGCTCTGCCTCCACAGTGTATCCTGATTCTGTGCATTTCTCCTAATTGTCACTGCTGCCATTCTAGGCCAAGCCACTGGCATCTTTGTCTGGACTATTGCAGTAGCCCAGCAACAGCCCTCTGCTTCCTTTCTTGTCTTTTGTTTGTTTTTTGAGACAGGGAGGCTCTCACTGTCATGAGTAGGCTGGAGTACAGTGTCATCATCATAGCTCACAGCAACCTCAAACTTCTGGGCTCTAGTGATCCTCCTGCCTTAGCCTTCCAAGTAGCTGGGACAATAGGTGTTTGCCACCATGCTCAGCTAACTTTTCTGTTATTTTGTAGAAATAAGATACCGCTCTTGCTCACGCTGGTCTCAAACTCTTGGCCTCAAGTGATCTTCCTGCCTCGGCCTCCCAAAGTGCTAGGCATGAGCCACTTCACACAGCCCCTTTCTTGTCTTAATTCATATCCAGCAGGAGGGGTGATCATCTTTAAAAAGGTAGGATCATGGTCTTCCCCCATGTATAATTCTCAGGTAAAACTCTAGATTTTGTTTCAGGATCTCCCCAATGGTTGAGTCTTTTTTTGTCATTTCAGGTCAGGGTAACTTACTTCTTCAGGTCACACCTGGTGACACTGTGTAAATACTTCAGTTCCTTGCTGATTAATCTGCTTTATTTTCTTAGTAGTAGGAATCACTAATTGAACATTTCTTACTCATTTACTTGATAGTCCATCTCGCCTCACTCTCCCTTTGAGAATATAAATTTTCTTGAGAACAGACAGCTTGTCTGTCTTATTTGTAGACTCTCCAACCCCTAGAATATTTCCAGTCGCTTCATGAGAATTCATATGTTGGTTGAACAAATAAGTGAGTCTTTTTAATTGGGATAACTTTTTCTTCCTTCTCGGTCTGGTATGCTCCTGCTATTTTTTCATGTCTTGGCTCAGATACCATCTGCTCTGTGACCTTCCCCACAGCCACCTTTTAAGTACTCCAGCACGGCATCTTCACTTTTTAAATTACATCATGTGTCGCTTAGTGACAAGGATACATTCTGAGAAATGTGTCACTGGGCAATTTAGTCATTAGGCATCGTGCAAATATCTCAGAGTATACTTACACCCACCTAGATGGCGTGGCCTACTACTCCTCGACTGCAAACCCGTGCAGCATGTTACTCTGCTGAATATCATAGGCAGTTGCAACACGATGGGAAGTATCTGTGTATCTAGACGTATCTAAACACAGAAAATGTACAGTAAAAATATGGTATGAAAGATAAAAAATGGTACACCTGTATAGGGTGCTTACCATGAATGGAGCTTGCAGGACTGGGGTAAGCCAGTGAGTGGTGAGTGAATATGAAGGCCTGGGACATTACTGTACACTACTGTAGATTTTATTATAAACACTGAACACTTAGGCTACACCAAATTCATAAAAATATTTTTTTCTTCAATAATTAATCTTAGCTTACTGTACCATTTTAACTATATAAACTTTAATTTTTTTAAAAAAACTTTTTTTCTTTTCCGTATTAACACCCAGTTTAAAACACAAAAACATTGTACAGCTATACAAAAATATTTTTTACATCTGTATTCTATAAGCTTTTTTCTATTTAAAAAAATATATATATATATATTTTAAACTTTTTTGTTAAAAACTGAGACACAAACACATCCATTAGTGTCATAGTCCTACATAAGTCCAGGATCATCAGTATCAGCGTCTTCTACCTCCATATCTTGCTTTCTTTTGTGTCCTTCAATAACCCTTAAATACTCTCTTCAGATATTTGACAGATTTATTCTCAGTTATCACTATTTTGCTTTACATTTCCCTATTGGTGAAGTTGAACATCTTACTGGTTTTTGGTAGTTTGGCTGTTCAGCTCCTTCTATGGCTTTGTCATTTTCTTTGACCATTTTATTTTTGGGTGTCTTTTTGCCACTTTGTAGGAATTCTTTGTGGTTTGGGGTATTGTTCCTTTTTGAAGGCTCAAGTTGGGGGACGGATTCAGGTCCATCTGATTTTAAAGCCCTCATTCTTAATTCATAGGTGTAATGCAGTATTTGGTTTTGCTCGCACAGTGTTTTTTAAAGTTGGGATTAAAAATGTATGAGATTTCATACAAATCCTTTCTTCTAGCGTCTCTCGAAGTCCCAGGAGATTTGTGAGCAGTAGGTCTGGCAGCAGTCAAGGGGCACTGAGCCGAGCTGCATCCTTTAGATCCTGGGATCTGCTGTCTCCACTGGGCCACTCGGTCACTTACTTATGTCTCCTGCTTGACCACCTGTGGCAGTCATCAGGGTTGTTCACAGGGCTTGGTCGTCTGTCGTCTGGGCACATGGTGGGATCAGCTCCCACCTTCTTTGAAGGTAGGAGTGGCCTATGGCCTGTTTTGGCTAATACAACCTAAACTGTCACTTCCAGGTATGAGCTTTGGGTGGTGCTTGTTCTATTCCCCTACCACAGTGATCAGGGAGGCCTAGGTGAAGTGTTGAGAGCGAGCTTCCTTCAGCCTGAGAGACAGGGCCACGCAGAACCCCTCGGCTCACCCCTGTCAGACTTGTAGCATGAGCAAGAAACAATCCTCCCTCCCTCAGCCCTAAGGTATCACTAATCTGCTTTCTGTTTCTATAGATTTGTCTATTCTGGATATTTCATATAAATGAAATTATAATGCGGGGTCTTTTGTGACTGGCTTTTTCACTTAGCATAATGTTGTTTTTTTTTTTTTTTTTGAAACAGAGTCTCGCTTTGTTGCCCAGGCTAGAGTGAGTGCCATGGGGTCAGCCCAGCTCACAGCAACCTCAATCTCCTGGGCTCAAGTGATCCTCCTGCCTCAGCCTCCCGAGTAGCTGGCACTACAGGCATGTGCCACCATGCCCGGCTAATTTTTTCTATATATTAGTTGGCCAATTAATTTCTTTCTATGTATAGTAGAGATGGGGTCTCACTCTTGCTCAGGCTGGTTTCAAACTCCTGACCTCGAGCAATCCTCCTGCCTCGGCCTCCTAGAGTGCTAGGATTACAGGCGTGAGCCGCCACGCCCGGCCTAGCATAATGTTTTCACAGTTCATCCATGCTGTAGCATGTATCAGTACTTCATTATTATGTCCAAGTAATATTTTCTTGTATGTATCTGCCACATTTT